CTTTAATACAAGTTTAACATAAAAGCAAATGTACGACGTTTCGACAAGTTTTGTCATCATCAGGTACCATTTGCTGTTATGCTAAACTAATATTAAAGTTTTTCTTCATTACCCATTCAAGCCGTCTCCAACCATTATTAGTCTCAAAGTGGGTTCCTCGTCATCGAATTTCAACACGTTATTTGTTGGAGCTGGAAACCAGAATAACTGTCGATTTTATAAATCAAAAACTTTGCATAGATGGCTATGAAGTTGAAACTGATATAAATAGGTAAATTATATTTAAATTAAATTAGATAAAATACAAAAAACAAAAACAAAAAACTGGTAACTGCCGTTGATGATTAACTGAAAGGAATCGTAGTTGAATGGCACAGCAAAGATAATACTTCAACAGCAAATCTCGATTCCTTCAAATCAGAAACGAATCTGTTTGTAAATGCTAAATCTGTATTCACAGATCACCTTCTCTCTATATCTGCACAATCATGAAATTGGATCACAACAATCCGGAAATATCTCTTCTCCACGTCACAGTCCTCTATACACAGAGTAAAGTAGGACACAATATAACTCTCAATAGATAATTTCCGTGATCAGACCCTATTACAGAAAATAGGGCTAAAATTTAGCATGTTACCTCGACCGGATTCAGGATGTTCCAAATTTAAAAGTTTTTTTAGATGTGAAACACACACTACAGGACAGTGAAATATGTGATATTCGTGCGATGGGCACCTACTAGAATACGTAACATCTCCGGTTGAATTTAGCACATCACCTCAACCAAATTTAGGATATTCCAAATCTGTGAGGTAACAGCCCCAGAAGTCCAGGCCGACCAAGGTCCCCCTCAAAATTTGTATTCGAAAATTTTGAATACTGGAATCGAGAGAAAATATTTTGAAATACGGAAATAGTTTTAATGATGGAGAGAAGCAATAACTATGTTTTAGGGCTTTTTGAGGCCTAGATACGTCACTATTCCAAATGGAAAATTTGAAAAAATGAAGATTTTTTAGATGTGAAATCCACACAACAGGAGAGTGAGGTATGTGGTATTTGTATACCACAAAAGTAGTCAAACAACACTCGTAGTTGATCTCCACATACAACTTTAAGACGGCATCTTTCATGGCGGCTGCAAGTCAGATAATAGGTGTGACTTGATGGGGGCAAACGCAAGTGTCGAAACGTCATCCAGATTTATCCTTGTCCAAACAAACTACCAATTCACAGCAAAAAATAAACTACAAAAAATAAAATAAGTTACGTTTCTCGGTTCATTTATCAACTACTGTTGTGTTCGGTGAATTAAACAGTTTATCATTAAAAGTTTCTTACAAACAGGCCACTTTAGTAAAATCAATGTAAAACTATCAGGAAAACTTTCGAAACAATCTGGAATTTAAGTTATTTATTTATTGAATTGCGTGAGAAAAGCTAGCCGTAGCTAATCTGTAAGTCAGACTAGAGGTAAGGCAGCTAGTCAACACTACACACCGCCAACTCTTGGGTTACTCTTTACCAACGAAAAGTGCAACTGACCTTCACATTTCAACATCTCCACAGTGGAAATGGCGAGCATCTTCAGTGACGGGATTCGAACCTGCAGGAGGGGAAGTGAGCGCCCATAACACCAGGCCGCGGAATTTCAAATGAGAGCAAAAACAATTATTTCATCTTTAAATAATAAAAAAGCTAATTTCTTAATAAAGGTTTCTCATGAAACTAATAGCACAGTTATTGTAATTACAATAATGACTACTTTTACAGCTATAAGTGTAATTTTTTTACATGTGATTTACGTAGAATAATCCTAAACTTTAACTTGTCAGTATGAAACATATTTTCCCATAACCCTTATGAACTAACAAACATACAATGACCTTGGAAAAACGACTTCCCAATGCTAAATGTCAGCATCTATCTCATTTTTACCTGAATTAGTTGTTTGAAAGCTATACATGGGTCATATATGCGAATAGACATGCCTAAATTTGACCTGACGGATATGAGAAAAGGCATGTAGTCACAGCAGCACCACCAACTTTTCAGTTACTATTATCTGATTGAATAATGGGATTTGAGCACCACTCTTACAGCGTACTCAAGGAATCAAAGTGCAGATCGCATTTTTGTGGCAATGGGCCCAAACCATAAATCCTCAGATTCACAATCAACGTACACTAATCACTAGGTTATGCCTGCCCCTATCCCAATTTTAACAGGATTCATTGTAACTGAGTGTTAGTTTTTTATATTTGTTCAAAGCAACCCTAGGCAGAGAAGGTAGCTAATCAACAATACCTACAGCCAACTCTTGGGCTCCTCTTTTCTGATTGAATGATGGTATTGAAGCATCACCCGTATAATGCACCCACAGCCACAAAGTGCAATTTAAGCAGACACAAATGCTGGACATGCAGCATGCCATCCACTTAGCCCAATAACAAGAACTGCTTCGTATTTTTTGTCTTATATACCTATGGCATACATTAATAGTATGCTTGATAAAGTGTTCTACAAGGTGTATTTGATACTGAACAAATGCCACATATCCTACCACTCATGATACACATTTGCCTGTAAGCTCGCCTGTTTGAAAATTAGAAATATCGACAGTAGTCAACTTTACCTTGGCCCAAATAATCTCAGATAGGTCATGCGGCAATATAAATCAGAGAGTAATTGTCACAAACAGGAATTTTTCATCGTGTTCACATGCCATCCAGAAAAAAAAAAGTATTACTGTAATATTCTACTACTGACTGTGGACTGACCATGTTTCATCAATGAACTGTTGACATGTATCAGTACGTAAAGAATCTCTATAAATTATACAATACAGCTGACAGGTTCTGAAATCCTGTTAATAATGACTTAAAATCAATTGGCAATGTTTTACATGAGGAGGGGAAAAATACCATCAATGCTTGGATTGTCAACTGCGCTTCCAGTGCTTGTGTGACCGGAGCCCAAAATTGCTGGCATATTTCTTTTCACATATGTTTTACATGTACCTTTATAATAAAACTAGTTCTTTTTTGAAAAAAAAGAGGATTATAAGTACCATTAAAGTAGTATTATCTTTAAAATAAACAGCTAAATAATGGAAATAACTTAACTTTCTGTTACTAGTTAACCAACAGCAAATAATTACATATGTTGCAAAATGATCATCTACACACAAACATAACAAATATAACTCTTGTAGTTTCAAAAATACATTTTTTAATAAACAAAGATTATAAAACTATTACAAAAATATTTTCAGTGTTATAATCAAGGTTTTTACATATCTGATTACTTTAACCTTCAGAGACTGCCCTAAACACTTGAATAATATAATCATAAAGGATAAGTTGAAAATCAAGTATGAATGATAATTTACAGCTGGCATATTACAAAACTATCACACTTTCAATGCTCTACAAATTTTTTCCTTTAAAAGTCATACATGAAAACAATAATATGTAATTTTAAACCTTCATAAAAAAATCATTCAGCAGTTTTTCTGGGTTATTAAATTTTTTGTACATTTTACTTTCCAAATATATTCACCCTGATTTAATGTTTATTCCCTTTTTTTTAAACAAGACTCTGTGTTAATTTGTTAGATAATTTAGAATTATTGAAACTACACTGTTCTTAATAAGAAGTTCATCAATGTCACTGCAGCACATAATGAAAGATATACAAATGGTTATATATAGGTTCCTTATAACTCAAAAACATGGGATTTCTTTCAACACAAAATAATGTTTTCTTAATTATATAATGCACATGTTTTATGCTTTTTGAAATATAATTGATTAAAAACTGTAAGCAAGTATCTATTAAACTAAACTTCTTCCAAAAATTCATGATGACAAACAAAATTTTAGCTTGCACCAAATTATGTCATCACTAAAAAAAACCAGAGACAAATGATTTTTTCCAATTTGTGACATGTTAGTAAAAATAAAGGTCTACGTCATTACTGGCTCTTACTGTATAGAGCTATTATTCAATTGCTGATGTCAGTGTTCAGCAATACAAATGAAAATTAACAATTTCTATAGGTGATTATTTTAAGGAGGTATAAAAGTTAAAAGTCTATAATTTTTATACAACAGAATAAAAACATTCTTTATGTTATTATTTTCTGGGGTTCCAAAGAAAATAATGATCTGACATCAACAGTAGAATTCAATGGTAATTGTTTTTTTTCTCTGTACAAATACATAATAAACTTGATAAACTGCCATTTCTAATACAAGAAAACTTTAGCAAAATGTAACTTAACACAATTATACTTTTGCATTGATGAGTAAATTGCTAAGCACTTAAAACACATCAGCGTCAATTACATACTAAGATAACTAGGTACTAGATAAAAACTAAGAGCAGAAAACACAAACTGTAATAGAGTTCAAGTACACAACAGCCACATTTGCCTTCTGCAAGTCTACTTTTTATCTAAAATGGTGGAATTTTTAATGCCACAATTTTAACAGAAGACTAATGTGAAATTGTGAAAATCAAAAAATGTAAAAGACAAATACAAAGTTTGTTTACCAATTTAATTTAAAAAAAAAATGTATAAAAATGCCAAAACCAGATTATTTTTGCTGAGTAACTGTAAAGAGATGATACTTAAAATTTTCCTTCAGAGAGAGATTCAAAGTACTTTTATGACAAAACATGCAAAAAAAGACATTGTCCTTCTTATAAAATAAAAAATAAACTACAAAACAAGCACTCAGTTGGTTATTAAACACAACATCATCCTAAAGCAAAAAACAAATCTTCATTCAAAACGAAAATAGAATTGTCTTTTAACTGCGTCAACTTTAACAAGGAATACTAGTTATAGTCTATAATATGTGTACAATAAGGTCACTTTAACATTACATATTACCAGCACCAATATTAAAAACTTGTTCAATAAAACTTGATTGTTGGTTAGTTATGGCATGGAGCTAGAAGACTTCCTTGAACAGGCAGGGCTGTTATATAAAATTAGTTGAAAAAAATATTAAGAAAAAATACATGAAAAGGAACAAATCAAAAGAGAAAATTCCACCTTGCAACTAGACACTATAAGTAATAAAAGCTGTATATATTTAATTTGTTTTCTAAATTATTTGAAAACTGTCGAGATTAAACAGAAAGATGAATTTTCTAGAAACTGTTATTGAACAAACTCAGAAAATATTATATAAATCTACTTATAAACTTTTCATAATTTTAATTACATTATATAAAAAAAGTTCTAATGTTTACAGATAATATAATACCATAAAATGGGTTTACACCATGATCAAACAATTTCAATACTGAGAACTTGGTCAGATTCTTAGGACCATTACTGGGTTGTTCAGAGCACAACATATAGCTCTTAAGCAATTTAATATTATAAATAAATGAAAAACAAATGTTCTGTTATTTAGGCCTTGTTTGATCATAAAATGTGTGTTAAAATTTGAGGTGGATGGTTTTACTCAAGTACTTACGAATATTGATTAATGCAATGTAAAATAATTGATTAACTAAAATTAGTATTTTCAGCTATTGCAACTAAATTAAATATTGCTATTATGATTTCACATTATCATTTTTGATTAAGTCAAGATCGTTTAGCTTAACCCTAAAGATGCAGGTGATTCAAAGTGGGTATGTCATGACTTTTTCAGTTACACTGACTCTGCCCAGATGCATATGGTTAATCAATTAGTGTTTGCATATATTAGTATTTTTAATTTTTCTAAGTATCCAAGTCTCATGTGAGAATAATCAATTAGTTGAATGTAATTGAGCCCAACTATTAACTCTTTCTCTATAGAATGCAACACCACATTATAGTGTTACATAAAAAAAATAATCAAACAACTTTGATATGAATATGTGTCAATAAATTTGGCAAGAAAATGTAGTTTATAATTCATCTTTTTATATTATGTAGATTTTCATTCTTAATTGGAAAAATGAATAGTTAGCAAATGTTCAATCTCAGTTTTTGTGTCATGTGATGTGTCTGGGCTCCCCTTCAGAATTTTATAACATCAAAAACAGGTTTGCTGCAATTTCTAACCAAATTAGAAACACAAACAATACATAATTATAAGCAGTAACCTAAAACTTGAAACTTCTACCTTTTTAATTTACTGAGATGTTAATAAATTTCTAAAACCCACCAGAGAAACCTGTCCCTCTGACTTCCTGGGTTGTTTGGCTAATCAACTTTAGATGCCTTGTACACATGCTTATAACTAATAGAAACAGCAGATTCTCTTCTGCACGAATCCCTTTCTTATTATCTCAAGTTATTATCTAAATTATTCAGTTCACAAGTTGTTTTTTGTTCCATGATCATTATTGTGCTACATGTTGAAGTAGTAGAACTTTTAAATCTATTTATAGATTATTTCGAAAGCTGGATAAATTACATTAGTTTTGGGACATTTTTTTTTCTGGCTGACATATTTTTGATGTTATAAAATGCATACTTGGAAACTATACAAGTTATTTTTTGACCACCCAAAACAATGTAAACATAAAATGTACAACATCTGGCACCTATAATTACTATGTCAATGAAACAGCTGACTAATGCACGAGCTTCAAAACCAATAACAATGGAAATTAATAAAATTCCAGTTCTGTGGTATCTCAACAATCATATTCAGTTACTACAGATAACATTCAAACATATTTTTTATCTGTAGGAACATAACTAGAATATTAACTTATATTGTGATGATGCCCAATTTTTGATTACTGTTATATATTTTACAATATCTTATGACTCATTCATAAGAAACCATCTGCTACAGGGACTGCTTGATGATGATGATGATGTAATATAGCACATACTATTATCAAAGAACAAAACTTTTAGCTTATCAATTTTTGTAAGCTTCAGTCCTGATCACAAAACTGGATCAAACAATTAGAAGAATAAAAAAAGTTTCATTTTATATTAGGCAGGTTTTTGTGATCCGAGATTCTTGTTATTACATGTTATAAAATCATAATTTCTCACCTGGGTGGTGGTGGTGTTCGAGAAACAGGAGGAGTCCGTGAAGGGGGTGTTGACCTGCTAGATGCAGAGCTCCGCCTTCTTCCTTTGAGTGAAGAGTACTGTAGAAGATAGCATTTCACACAAGTTATAAATACGTGTATACAATATTATTTTATTTCTCTTCCTCATTCTAGTGGTTTTAATTTTTTTTCTATAGAAACAAGTTACTTATTTGCTATACAAGCTAGAAATACAATAAAAATAACCTTGTATAATAACAAGTTTCAAACCTTTGTATTTGCATATCTTACTAAAATTCTTAAAAGACAATACTTGTAAACCAATAGTACTGTAATTAATTTCATTATTATTATATACAATTTACCAAGTATGTTAAAACAACAAACAATAGAATTTTGTATAATATATAGAAATAATGCACATGCTTTCATCAATTTAATATCATATACATTACAATGAAGGTAGTCATAGCTGATGGAAAAACAAACACACTGTCAGGACCTTTATTCCATAAGTTATATGATGTAATTGCAGTAGAAATATACTTAAGTTTTCAAAAAAGGAGAATATTTACTATTCATAATAGACTAAGGCATATTTTCTATTTGAAGGATTACATCAAAAGCTTGTAATTATATATGATCCTACTCGACCAAAAGATTTGCTGATATTCTCATTTAATCTATAGGAAAAACTTATAAAATTATTCAAATGGGGTAAAATTTTTCCAGATATTCTGAGGATGCAATGTTTTTGCATCTTTATGATATATATAACATTGTAAGAACATTATTACTATATTAAAAAATAGTTAAATATAAAGATTTTATATAAAGTCTACTAGAAGAATTATAATGAATCAGAAAATTTAAATTGTGAATCTTTTTTTTAATTAAAAATTCACAAACTTTCAATAATACTACTTGCATCTTTAATAGCAAGTAATGCATTCTATATGATGTTCTTTAAACATACTCTCAAACAAGGAGCTATTAAAAAGATGCCTAACACTTCTAGTCACAGCTTACAATTGTGAATTAACAAGTACTTTATATTTGGTATATATTTTACACTTTTGACCCCAATCAAACATTCATCACTTCTGCTTCAAATTAAAGTAAATTTATAATTAATTTTCTACAAATCAATAGGACAATCTGAGGACTGCATTACAATAATACTTAGCTTGTTAACAACAGAGTCAATACATCAATTTTAAAGGTTGTCCTAACCTGCAAGTTGGACTGGATGATAAACAAAATGTACTACTTTGTTCATTCAAGACTAGTATAAGTCAGTTGATGAATCTTGATTATTGCACTTCATTATCATTAATCTATAAGTGTTAGCATTTTCATTATTTTGACTGGACTTTGAGCTATATTCACGTAAAGTGAACACGAGTTCATTTTTTGGTGCTGGTTGAGGTTACATAATAAATAAATTAAAATGAAAAGTTGAAAATAGAGGTTCAGATTTTGATCACTTGAGACACCAGAAATCAGTTACAAGTGTACATAGGAGGGATTTGGTTAGGCCTGCATGTATTATAAGGCACACCGTGATTTTGCAAGATCGCTAGAAATATACTCATTTCAAGAAAGTAGCAGAATGTAGGATCAGCCATTTCATGCAGTGACTGAAGTTTAGTTATTTTGTGAAGTGACTGATTTTGCAATATGCCTCTAACATATATACTTATTATAGTCTTGAAATATATCTTACAAGAAAGTCTGCTAAATAAATAATGAAGCATTGACAGACCAAGATTGAGAATATTTGCTTCGACTATTTTCATTACCTCTCTAGTGTTCACGGTATTTATGCATACATATTTTATGTAAAAATATGACTACTACCTCAGTATCAAATAGTTAGATTGCAAATTCTTTTAACTTAATAAGCAAGGAGTTGGTCCATTAGACCAATCCCGTATCAGAGAAGAAATGTTGACTATAAAGTGGTTGTGGCAAGCTTTGAGTAAAATGTCGGTTGTATATAAAATATTAGATGTGTTGCAGCATTGTTTGCACTAAACAAATATATGTGAATTGATAACATCAGTCTGACTCAGATAAGTCAAAGTGCAAGACAATATTCATGTGAAGAGAAAATACTTTTGTCCACCATAAGGTTTGCATATTGCATTGCATAGCATCTAGAACATCTGAAATATATATTTACAGTTTTCTCAGCATCCCTATATACTGTACCTGATATTTAATTTCCTCTATCTCAAACTTACCTATATCAGTAATGTAGGGTAAAATGAACAGCTGATAACTCTGACATCAGATACATAATACCATGTTGAATGGCAGTCTGTCAAAGGTCACTGCATGTGCACTTTGAAACACACCCATGAACAAAGGGTTAAAAAATACTGATTACTAACTGTCGTAACATTAAACCCTATATTATAATACAATCTAAAAAGATGCAATGAAAGATAGTTAGTTTTTAAACCATTTAATCAGGTTGATAGCTATTGTACAATTCACCTAAACTTGTAAATACAGCATTAAGCTAATTGCATAGCTATTCTGCAAAATCATCAGAGCAAGTAACAAATTCAACTTACAGTCAATAATAATAGTGTGCAACAGTACACTAAACCATAAAAATAATAATAGAGTGCAACCAGTACACTAAACCATAAAAAAATAGAGTGCAACCAGTACACTAAACCATAAAAAATAGAGTGCAACCAGTACACTAAACCATAAAAATAGAGTGCAACCAGTACACTAAACCATAAAAATAGAGTGCAACCAGTACACAAGTAATGAGTAGACTGATGCTCATTTTTCAGAGTATGCCTACTTACATAACTATTATTCGTAAATTAAATTCCTGAATTAGACCTACAATAAGCCTTTTCAAATTAGTTAGGCCTTATGGGTATTTTCTCTTGCTAGCTACTAGATTTTATTAGTTAATATGTGCCAAGCTCAAGTTATGAAAAAAGTTAAAAGTTAAAAAAAAACTCAAAATGCTCTACCATTTGTAACCACCATAAATAAATGTTTTGTTTATTAAAAAACTCGATTAGTATCAATTTTATTTTTATATTAGTATTTCTTTTACACACACACACTAGACTATTAACATCAGAAATTCAACTTTCATATTTCATCACTTTCCTTAATCTCTTGTTATTTGTCAGGATATAAAAATACAATTGAGCAATAGGCAACAATCACAGGGTTTGTACCAATAGACCCCTTCAGAAAAAAGTAGAAGAGAGTTCCTTTATTGATGTTAACAGCAGATTTATTCTGGCTGTACACTATCCTATTGATTCCTAATTCTTTTCCTTTTCCTAACTACACCATATGTTGCATTATTTTACAGCAGACTCATTTCCTCTGAATGTTGAAGATCTTTGATTGCTACTTACACCTTACTGGTGCTGAGGAGACTGAGATCCTTCCAGTAGAGTTGTGCTAGATTTTATATAGGGACTTCTCTTGTGAGTTTCCTCGTTCAGCTTTATCCCTGCATGGTCTGGCATATACATTAAAGTGAAGGTCTTACCATGCAGTTTCTTCACTTTCTGCCATCCATCTGCCACGTTAATGGTACTGTCTGTTTGTGGTTCGAGGTTTTCAGCAATCCAGACGAGAGCTTACTTTATGGCTTCCAGCTCCATCCTTGTGCTGTTTATGGGTAGTTTGAATTCTCCATCAGCCTAATGCAAAATGTTGCTGTTCCAGAAGACAATGAATGCCTAACCAGCTCTCTTGCTGTCATTGGTGTAGGTACCATCTGTGGATATGATTACAAGCAACTGTCCATCATGGTCTGTAAGTAGCTGCTAACAAGCTTTTTCGACTTTACTCTCTGCCCAATTTCTGGGATGATTTTCACAGTGGTGCCAGATGTTTATTCCATGTAGAGACATCTGAGATCTTATGGAGACTAATTATCTCAGTGGTGGATGTACTGCACATATCTACTCATAGTCATGACATATTTTTTTTAACCGGTCCCATGCTTGGTTGGTATCTGTATGGTTGTTGTGAAGCTGAAATATTCCTATTGAAAAAAGTAGTAGCTCAATTATGGAATATATGGTCTTTATGGGGCTTTATTAAGTAGAAAAATTAAAAGTTTAAAACTTTTTTACAATGTGCCCAAAAAATGTTTGGGATGAATTTTTGATAAAGGGGAAAAAAAAGCAACTTTGTGGGGGTCAAAGTAGCTTTACCTTTAATAGGAAAAAAGATTTATCCAGTGAAACCTATCATATGTTTTAACATTACACTAAGTCTTCTTAACCTGTTGTTTGTAAGAGCTAAAATTAGTTCAGCATTAAATGCATACACATGGATTTTTTGCATTGTAGCAACACTAAGGCTTCAGCTGTTCTATTTGAGCATGGGCCAAATATTGTCTTTATTAACATTGTACTCTATATTTTCAGTAGTTTCCAACACAATGTGAAATGTGTTTTATGTAAATAAGAATCTCAGCTCTGACAAATCACAAATTAGAAGGAAAAGTGTGGTTTTAGTATGATGTCAGCCACTATTCAACCCTCTTGTAAACACTCCTGCAACTTTGAAAAACTTCCAATAAACAGTTTGGATCATTTTTGTAAATGTAGTAAATGTTCTGTCTTTAAACTGTACAGCCCTAGCAAAGAAATTTGCTTGTAAGCACAGTTGATGTTCTGTAATGCTGCTAAAGCTTGTGAAGTGTGAGAGGATGTTGATGGAGTTGACAGAAGTGCATGCCATGTCTTGTCTTAAACAACTGTTCTGTATCTTCTCAATTTGATCTGGTTGTGTAGCACTCATACTGATCATTGAGAGAGCATAATTCAGGATGGAATGCATTAAGACTTTGGTACAGCATAAACAAGTTATGTTCTTAAGCTCTATTTATTGCTGCAACTTTCATTGCATTGATGAGGTTGGTAACCCTGATTACCATAGTGTTAATATGACTGGTAAAGCTGAGTTGTCTGTCTAAGATTACTCCCACGTAGTTCAGCATTTCATCTAGGGGAATGGCAGTGTCTACAAAGGATGGTGATGATTTGTCTTTACCAGCATGTCTGTTATTGAGTGCTTAGAACATAACTGTAGCAGGATTAATGACCATATCTATGTCATTGCACAATGTACTAACCCTGATACTGGGATGTTTGCATCTTGCTTTTGATCTTAGCAAAAGTTAGCACACAGCATCTGGTTGGACTGTCCAGATGGGCTACATCCATTGTGTAGATGTTGAAGAGGACTGGCAAGAATGGTGATTGCCAGCTTCCACACATCATGATGCACTTTCTGGTTGTTAGTGTAGCTATGACCCTTACACGTTATACTAATGTATATTTTGAACATTTTGCCAGCAAGAACAGGTAGCTGGATTCTACTGAAGGCACCTTTCAGATCTAATGCTACTACCAAGATCTTCTGACCAGTTTCAAAGCCTTACCTTGTATCAGCTGTGAATTCAGCAGCACTGATCCAGGTTTCTCGTCCACTACAATAACCACCTAATGATGATGGTAGTAGTAATTCAATTTGACAGGCAAGGATTTATATGAAGATACTGCTTAATGTGAAAATCATGAAACTCATCCTTATGTTTCAATTTATTTGTTTTTTGTATTGAATTTTGCGCAAAGCTACACGAGGGCTATCTGCGCTAGCCATCCCTAATTTAGCAGTGTAAGACTAGAGGGAAAACAGCTAGTCATCACCACCAACTCCTGAGCTACTCTTTTATCAGTGAATAGTGGGATTGACCATCACATTATAAGGCCCTCACGGCTGAAAGGGCGAGCATGTCTGGTGGGACGGGGATTCAAACCCGCAACCCTCAGATTGTGAGTCGAGTGCCATAACCACCTGGCCATGCCGGGCCAATTCAATTTATAATAAAACCTGTTGAAAAATAAACTGATGAAAATAGCCAAAACATTCTTTACAAATATAGACAAATTAAGTATATGAAGCAATCTGTAAACTGTTAGCAGGACTAAACCAAATAATCATGCTCAAACTTGTGTTTAAAACTGTTATATCATCATCAGTCTGAAACTTAGTATCCAAAACCTCCAAACTTGCACCAAAATTTGCTAATTCATACTTAATATTGGCAATCTTTAAACATCAACAAAGAAACTGTATGCTTACACTAAGTGTTGCCATTAGAAGCCAACAACATGGCTTAACCCTTTAAACATGGGCAGATGAGATTACCATCCACTCAACTAAGGAAGGACATTTATGCAACAAAAATACAGCAACTCTGTGTATTCCTAACAAAACCTCCTAAAATTTTGTTGAAGTTTATAAATATTTCGTACACAAAGAATTACATTATTCTAATTACACCTTTCTAATAAAAATGTTATCTATTTATAGAAGTTATTTGCACTCAGACTGTTTAGAGTGCAAGGTGATTTTAAGTATAGAAATACTTTTCTTCATCTTATATTTTCATATTTCATTTGCATAACCTATAGAACCTCCAAAATGAATCTCAAAAGTTTTTTCAAGTAAATGTTTATATTTTATTATTTCAATTTCTTTACCATATCACTGACTCTAGCAATTAGCATCAATGTACAATGCAATTAAATTATTAAAATTAGAAAAAAAAAATTCATACCTTTTACTTTTTTGTAGAATATTTGTACAGATGTTGTTTTACTTATATTCATAATTTTGGTTCTTTTCTGTTTCACCTATAGTTAATTATTAATTTTACATTTTTCATTCTTGTCCTTTACCACTGATTACTGATCTCAAAACACAAATCAACACTGCCCTTGAGGCATATTTATGGTGTGTCTAGCAGATATGTGCAACCCTTTGACAAAATTTTCATGCGTCACATATTATCCTAAGCGTTGAGAACTGATACTAAGTATGGTGTATATTTTTAAAATGCTTAAACCTTTCAATTATACTTTTTAAAACAAAATTAACCAAGATATAAAAGTAAGATCTAAATACAATTTAACTATATCTCTAACTATAACATATTTATGCAAAAAACAGCTGTAAGTGCCATAGTCGAATAAGCAGCCAACAATACTATTGTCAGTTACATGTATTTCATGGTGACAACTTTGTGCCAATTTCAAAATAACAGTTGTTAGATTATAGTGTAAAATGAGCTGTTTTTAATGAGCATACACATGTGTATGTAACATCTACATGTAGGCTATAAAGCTTAAACAAATCTGTTGAATGTGAGCATGACACTGTCAGTAGTTGAGAAAATTTATTACTTGTTTCAACTGTGTAAGCATCTTACTGTCTAGTCATACCTCTACTCAACTACCAATAAAGAATTTTGATAAATTGTTGGCCATGTGACAATATATCTGAAGTTTAAGTAGTTTTTTAAAGGTTTCTTTTGAAATAAAGGACTTAAAAAGTAGATAACATAAAACTTTGAATCATAACATACATTATAACATTAATTTTATTCACGTGCATCGATATTACCAGTGTTTAATTAAATTTTAAATGTAACAGAGTGACTAGCGTAGAAAAGGGTTTAAAGGAGTACCCGTCACGAAAGGATTAATGCAGACAAGAGTTTCTTATTATAACAGTGCCATCTTACATTACAGATTATCAATTCAGTGTCATTTCTTGCCTTGGTTACTCACTGGTGAAGTTAAGCCATGTGATGACTTTTCTATTGGGGAAGATTGCTCACTTATATGTTACATGAGTCTAAGGCATTTAGTGCTATATGGTCCAACTGTCTGATCAAAGGGAAAATTAGAGTTTTTATTAAATTTATGATTGCGATGATGGAAAGTAGTAACCATAAAAGAGAATTTATTACAGCATGGTGTCGAAGGGAGGGGGAGAGACTTGTTTGTTTTGTGGGTATGTCTATGACAAAGTTATGAATTTCTTTTTAAAACTGTCTTGCCATACAATGTTCTATTTACCTGAACCCTGAGTAAAGCTACTGAAGGATAGATTACAGTGCTAACAAAAAAAGTATTCATGGTTGAAAACTTATGAAACAGAAGTGCTTGAAAATTATATCTGATAGCATTTTAAAACAAGACTGAAAACAACACAAGGAGCTTAAGAGCTAATGTTAGTAGGACACAACTGAAAACAACACAAGAAGCTTAAGATCTAATCTTAGCAGGAAACAATGGAAAACAACACAAGAAGCTTAAAAGCTAATGTTAACAAGACACAACTGAATATAACACAAGAAGCTTGAGAGCTAACATTAGAAGGATACAATACAATGAAATAGCTTCAAACAGTCCCTTATTAAGAATATTACAATTCTAGTTCATACAATATAAAGTAACTTTATACACATATCCAACTGCAGAATATTATAAAACAGATAAACTGTTACTGTTAGTAATACAGTCAAGCATACAAACAAATACCTGAAACCATGTCATATAAGAATATATTTCATAAAATAGCTGACCACTATGAATATAATTCATATCTATCCCTATTTATGACCTTTGACAACATTGCTTTTATCATAAAATTAAAACAGTGTTTTGTTTCTTTATAATTTTTCTGGTTGCTCATTTGCTTTTTCCATCAACTGGATTTCATTTTGATTTTCTTTTGGTGTGTATAATCTTATCAAAACTTATGTAGCAAGTCATCATTAGCTGGAACCTGTGTACATCTGATCAACACATAATCAACTTACTGGAGAGCTTCCTCTGGAAAAGTTCATGCTGGCATAGATCAATAGTCCTACATCTCTGTGTCCAGCTTCCATTGCTATTGATAAAGCAGTACTGCCATCCTGTAGTGAAAATGTTAAACTTCAAATTAACAAAAAAAACTAACAAACTGTAATTAAACCATGCTCGAAATGAAAAATTGATAAAACAGGGATAATTCATTATTCAACAAAATGTCTTATAATCTTCTTTAATAAAGTAGCCCATATAAGAGAATGTTAACATTTTCTTACTCTGAAAATGTATAACTGATAGTTACCTACCCAAAGATATCTCGATTATGGTTTGCCCTCTAAGCATTGCTGAAAAACAAAATTCACAAACAGTCTTTTATATCCCTTCATTTTCGCATATTTCAGAACATGTGCTGATCACGTGACTGCCCTCCACCAATCATACTGTGCCATCTATATTAGTGCAAGTAGCTCCCTCTACTATTCTAGCACAATCCTCACTTTCGAGAATTTGGCAGGTACATACTAAAAACACCGACATATCAATGAGGAGGTAAGGTAGGAAATGAGTGAGAGAAGGTAAGTACCGAAATGGTACTACCTCCGCTCACCCAAAGCTAGAAACACACATTGCAAAGGTAGAGAGACCGGTGAAGGCACCACAGTATTCAATCAAGGGGAGAGCAACCGCCTTGAAAGAACAGGTGTGCCATAATAAAGCACACCCGTGGGGTATAGCACTACTTCTGGAACAGGCATGTTCTTCTCCAAGTAATGAACACAGTGATATATATAGGGCAGAATGTAATAGGTAGGCACCACAGCCTCAAGTAAGAGATGTCCCAAATAAATAAATCAGCCCGTTGTCAGCAGATAGTGCATAACTCGTCCACCTACGTAGCAAGCGTTAGCATGGGACATAGTGATAATTAGTCATAGTAAGGTGCCTGATAATGTGATATAAGTATACGTGGCTAGGGCTAAAGGGCTAATTATATACATATAAACTGTATATAATTAGGCCAAATGCAGTCCACCAGGGCAGAAACGTCCAGGGGAAGTGCCCTGCACAAGTTTGTAAGATCAACAAGTGTGGTCTGACTGGGCAAAAACATCCAGGGAAAGCACCTTCTATATACAATATTATGGCCAAGTATGGTACACCCAGGTAAAAACAAAAACATCCAGATGGATGCACCTTCATATACGTCAGATTATGCCAAGTGTGATCCATTCAAGCAGCAAACAACCAGTGGAAGTGCTTTGCATAAGATACAGAAAACAACAAGTGTGGTCCACCCTTGGGGAAGCACCTGGGATACAAAGGATTAGGCCAGGTGTGGTATGGTCAGCCTGGGCAAAAACATCCCGCCGAAGCACCTTGAATCCATAATATTATGTTATTGCATAATTAATAAGTATAACAACGATAGCACTCTTCTCACAGAGTGGGTACATATGAGCTATGAAGTATGATTTAGTTTATTGTATAAACCCCACTCACGAGGAAACCTCCATGGTCCACCCCTCCAGTGACTGGGAACTGGAAGTGGCAAGGACTCCCACACTCCACTAGAAGAAAAGGAGGGGATATGTGTTGGGGAGTCTAAAGAAACGACACACTGGAGACAGTGCAATGGTTACCTGCAATTCCGTATTTTTAAAAGCAGAAAAACCCTGACTGTAAAAATCACGGGTCAGTAGGGATGGTCAAAAATCCCCATCTTCTTTACTCAAGAAGTCCATCAGTGATGGTCCTTTATATATGAAACAGCGATAAAATGTTTGTCTGTACGTATATATAAGTAGCCAGTAGTTTTACAAAAACATCCCATCTTCTTTACTCAAGAAGCCCATCAGTGATGGTCCTTTATATATGAAACAGCGATAAAATGTTTGTCTGTATACATATATAAATAGCCAGTGGTTTTACAAAAACACCCCTTCTCAAGAGTGAGCATTATAGAATTATGCAGATTTATTGCTAATATTATAATAAATACACTTGACCAGGCAACGCCGATCACCAAGTGAGATCCTGAAATATGATGTATATCAACGAAACAAGATAAAAAATAATATGTTGACTTACCCCTATCAAAGGTGAACAGGTGTGTGTAGAAAAACCACAGTAGAAAGACACAGCTAGGTTGTGCAGTTTGCGCGACAGATGCATGGAAGGTGTCCACATACCAACCTGAACGATCTCCTCCAAAAAACGGCAGTTTCAAGCAGCTAAAAATATAATCAGATGACGAATTTGGTGCAAACATACATTATGTAGACAGTGACCTTCCATCAATACATCAAAATACACCAATTGTATGAGATGATGAACCCAACCAGTGAACATAATAGGCAATAGATCATGGGAAACAGAGAACTTCCACAAAACAAATAGACAGGAACGAGAAACACGAAAGGATGCAGTAAGATCCATATAATATAGCAGGGGACAAACTGGAAAGTAGTTGATCCGAATCAAAAAATGAGTACAAGTGAGAAATAGAAAGCAAGGAAATAGGAAAAAAAGGCTAAACAACCTTTTCAGACAGCCAATATCCTGGGAAGGAAGGCCTGATATGGATAGAGGATAACATACAAGGAACAGTAAAGAATGTGGAAAACATTAATGGCATAAATATTGGAATGGCGATGACTGCATACCAGGAGATGGAGGAAATAGCTCTTAAGTGAAAGATGGCACAAGGAACACAATGCAATGGGTTCAAAGAGAGAAGCAAACAGGGCATGAAGGACAACACTGAGATCCCAATCTGGCAGAACAAAGGGACATGGCAAATGGACCAGACAAAAGAAACAAAAAAGTGAAACAATCGGGAAAGAGAAGGCTTTCCGGAAGTGGGAAACAAAAGATGTTCGACAGGGCATCCCTATAATGAGCAACAGTTGAAACAGACACATCCTGATCAAACAACCATGTGAAGAACAGAAGGATGGGATGGTCAGAAGCCATGCTGAATAGACCAAAGTCTGAGTAAGACCAATGCCTCTGGTACATAGACAAGGAGGAAGGGTGAATGGTATGAGCAAAGAAAGTTGCCACACGAACTGAAGCAAGGGACTGGAAAAAAGCTACATGCGAAGATGGAGTTTGGAGACATTGGGATGAAATACATCCTATAGAAGTTGCCAGAGAGCAATCATGATAGAGGCTGTTTCTCCAGTAAGGGCCAGAGCAAAGGGTACAATATTTGAGCTGGCCAATATAGATCAGCCAGCAGAATATGACAAGAAGTGTCTGAATAAATGAAGTAGCTTTGGAGAAGAGTCCAATTGGAGGCTAGGCATATAGGTGAAGAACCCTCCAATCTCGACTGAAAGCATTCACACCCAGAGCTGAAGGGTAAGAAATTGACAACTAAAAGAAAGGAAGTTTGGCATTTCAGTGAGTAGCAAATGTAGTGTTCCCAGCTGATAACACACCCACAGAAACACTCAAGGATGAAGGGACCACTCCGTGGGGAGAACCTGGTGGGGACGGGATAAACAATCAGCCACAATATTCATAATTTCAGGAACATGACATGCCATGGTCGTTGACCTAGTACAGAAGATCTAGAGGAGTCTGACAACACAGAGATCTGGACTTGCTGTCCCTTGCTTTGTGATATAGCTGACAATAGTGGAATCATCAGAATGAACCATAACCACTCACCCCTGCAAGAGTGGAAGGAAATGATACAGAGCTCGATGAAGTGCCAAAGGTTCCAGGATTTTTGATATGGAGAGTAGCCTCCTTGACAGACCACTGACTCGAAATCTCTGAAGGAAGCATCTATGAACACATTAAACACAGGACAAGGTGGAGGAATGGGAATGCCCACAGTGGTCAAGTCTCTGTTGAGTCACCAAGCAAAATCGGCCCTGATACCAAGTGGAAGGGTGATGGGATGGTCCAAGGGATTGTGGCAGAAGTTTCACTGGTCAAGAAGCATCCAATGAAGGGAATGCATATGTACCCGAGCAAAGGGAATGAGAGGTTCCAAAGCATCCCGCATACACAAAAAAGAGATAGAACCTCCCATGCAGAGAGAGAAGGGGAAAGTAGGGTCTTTGTGATTGCCCATTCCATATCCTGGAGCTTAAGTATAGAAAGCTGGGCCCAATGAGATGGGAATTGAAGAAAACCTTCAGATGAATAAGATACTGTGTAAGGGTAGTAAAGGACTTCTCCAACTTTATGAGAAACCCCACCTGAGCAGCTTCTCGCAGAAGTGGGTGTTAGTGACTGACTGGGCACGAGAAGAGGTGAACAGTGGCCATTCGTCCATGCAACATTGAGTCCAAGGACCCAGCAAGCAAAGATGACATGCGAAAGAGCTTACCACTCGACAAAACACATATGGAGCTGAAGAAAGACCAAAAGGCAGCACGCAGAACTGGAAGACAGAACCTTCGTGGACAACCAAAGAAAACGACATGACACTGGGGCAATTGGAATCTGAAGATAGGCATTTGTCACATCAAACTTGGTCACCCAAATTCCCGGGGAAAAAATCCATTTAAGTGAGAAGTGAGATTATGTGGTAAAGTGAGGTGTCTCCAGATAGGCATAAAGCCAGGACATCTGTGGTGGGTTTCCAATCTCCCATGTTTTTGGAGACAACAAAAAGATGGGAGTAAAATCCTGGTTGAGTGGGCTCCAATTGTTCGATTGCTCCTTTTTTGAACAAGGTCTTAACCATACTTGGCGAGAAGTCTGGATGTGGTATGATCCAGAGGAGGAGGGAAGGATAACTGAAAAGTGAAACTGAAGGCAGAAACCTTCAGATAGAACCCATGGAATTGTCATAAAGTGTAGCCAAAAAAGTCACAACAACTAAACATACTTATAGAAAGTATTCAATACTAACAAACCAATAAAACTTAGAAATTTGTAGAGTCTACAAAATACATAAAAATAAACATGCAAAATTATGAAATTCGACCTAAAATATAAAACAATAAGCAACACCTAAATTGCAAAAGAAGTAAAGAAACTTAGAAGATAAAATACCTTTAAGTATTGAACATATCAGTCCACCCAAAGAACCTATAAGACAAAAGACTTGAAAATAAAACCTACCTTGAAGAACATGAGAATA